CTGAGCCTGGGCACTATCCCTCAGCTCTTCAGCTCAAGGCTAGCGCTCTACCACTTGAGCCACAGTGCCACTTCCAGCTTTTTTTTCTTTTTGCTTATGTGGTGCTGAGGAATCAAACCCAGGGCCTCATGCATGCAAGGCAAGCACTCTACCACTGAGTCACCTTCCCAGCCTGCAAATAATCTTTTTTAAATTGCCAATTGTCTTTATATGTTTGTGTGTTAAATTTGTTCAATAATCATTTAGCACCTACCATGAGCATATTGTTTACTTTGTGGCTCATCAGAGCTATCACCTCTAGGATCTGAAACATATACAATTTGCTTTTCTTTTGCGACAGCTTATTTATAAAGAGCCATCCTTACACAGTCTTCTTTCTTATTTTGATAACCTGTGTATAACCACCAGCCCAAGCAGTTAGCATTGAAATCTTAAAAGTTTTTCCCCATGTTATTTTTCAGCAATTAACTGTTTTTCAGTCCTAAGCAATTAACTCATTTTTTGTTACTGAAAGAGCTTTAACTATATACAAACCCATGACATAAGAATATGCTATACTATATTTTATCTGCTGTGAAGCAATGTTGTCTATTACAGATTTATAAAGAGATGCTCTGGTTGAAAAAGGACTATACAATTTGAAGTCTTCTGAAAAGTTTTATATCTGCTCCCAAAGTAGGAAAGAAAATTCATACAGGTTACTGCTACTGGCTTTGGTTATTGATATTTTACTTTTTGTTGAAGAATCAACATAGGATTTCCCAGTATATGATTACTGGGAATTAATAATCACCCTTTATACATTAATGATGGGAGTGCAAAAAACAATACAGTTGCTTTGGAGACCAGTTTGCTTACATGGTCCAATAATTCTCCTAGGTATGTACCTAAGAGAATTGAAATCATGTCTACACAAAAACATATGAAAATATGTTTATAGCGTTATTCATAATAGCTGCAAAGCAACAAGTTTCATCAACTGAACAGATACAGAATATGGTATGTCCATTCAATGGACTAAAGGTATAAAAAATAGTGATATGGACTTTGAAAACATGTTAAATGAAAAAAGCCCATGACAAGAGACTACATAATTGTATGATTCTGTTAGCATTAAACGTCCGGAGTAGGCAGATGAATAGAGACCAGGGTTGCTTGGGGGAGGGGCTGTGGTTTTATTGTTGTTGTTTTGTTGTTTTGCTTTTGAGACTGTGTTCTTTGTAGCTCAAGCTTGTCTTAGCCTTCCACATTCTGGGATTATATGGAAATGAGATTAAAAAAAATTGACCCAGTCACATCCCTGGTAGACTACATTGCTCTCTTTTTTTTTGGTCATGGGGCTTAAACTCTGGGTCTGGTTGCTGTCCCTCAGCTCTCCAGCTCAAGGCAAGCTCTACCACTTGAGCCACAGCACCACTTCTGGTTTTCTGGTGGTTAATTGGAGATAAAGAGTCTCATGGATTTTCCTGCCTTGGCTGGCTTTAAACCACGATCCTCAGATCTCAGCCTCCTGAGAAGCTAGGATTACAGGCATGAGCCACTGGTAGCCAGCCAACTTTTTTTTTGGTTAAAATTTTTGTTTTGTTATTATACATCAGTCCAGAGGGGTTACAGTTACATAAGTCAGGCAAAAGATCTAAATAAGTTTTTAAATTTTCTTTTATGTGAATGTGTATGTGTGCATGTGCGTGCACACATGCACAAGTGTGCCAGTTCTGAAACTTGAACTGAGGGTCTAGGTGCTGTCTGTAAGCTTTCTTGCTCAAGGTTAGTGTTCTACCACTTGAGCTACAGCTCCATTTCTTTTTTCTTATTTTCTTTGTTTCTTTTTTTGTTGTTGTTGGTTGTGAGGCTTGAACTCAGGGCCTGGGCACTGTTCCTGAGCCTGTTTGTGCTCAAGGCTAGTGCTGTACCACTTGAGCCACAGTGCACACCTGGTTTTTAAATGATTAACTAGAGATAAGAGTCTCACGGGACATTTCTGCCTTGGGCTGGCATTAAACCCCAGTCATCAGATCTCAGCCTCCTGAGTAACTAGGATTACAGGCATGACCCACTAGCACCTAGCTTTTTTGGTTCTTAATTGCAGATGAGTGTCTCATGAACTTTCCCGCCCAAGCCTGGCTTCAAACAATAATTGTCAAATCTCAGCCTCCTGAGGCACTAGGGTTTACAGGCATGAGCCATGGGTCCCCAGCTTTTAATTTTACTTTTTATGAGCAAATGCGTGTAAAAATTAAGATTACCTATTGAATTATGACCTTCATCTAGCAGATTCTGTGTTGTTGTCGATGAGATCATCTTGTAATAAAGGAGGTCTCTGAATAAAAATTCTTAAACTCTTAATAAGAACTCCCTGGAAGCTGGGTGTTGGTGGCTCATACTTAGAACCTTAGCTACTCAGGAGGTTGAGATATAAGGATTATAGTTCAAAGCCAGCTTGAGCAGGAAAGTCCATGAGACTCTTATCACCAAATATCCACCAAAACACTGGAAATGGAGGTGTGTCTCAAGGAGTAGAGTACCATCCTTTGAATGGAAAATTCTAGAGGACAGTTCTCAGTCCCTGGGTTCAAGCCCTGTACTGGCATGGGGGGAGTGAGTGGTGGGGAAGAACTTTACAAAAAATGATGCCTTCTTCAGAATTCTCAAATGTTGAAGTATGTCTACTTTGTAAAATTAATGAGTAGTAATGTAAGGTCTGCACAGGGACACCTTCGTACCTCTTGGCTAAGTTAATTTGAGAATGGCATAAAAATTAGGTGCTGTGGTTTTCCAGGGAGTGCGGGAGGCATTTCAAAGGGGTTTCATGGCTCAGGCATGACTCGCAGCACCCCATTAAATGTGTAGGAAAATCAGTCTGGTGAGTGAAGGAGAGCTGACCAGGCAGAAGCGGTGTCCCAACTTCCCCACTTCCCCCAGAGCCCTCTAGAGAGAAATGGCCAAGCCCCCAAAACCAAGCGTCCTCGGCTCCAGAGGTGACCACCTTTCTGCTAAAGGCCGTAGGAGCTCTCTGGCATGGTGCCATGTCTGGACAGACACTGAGCAACAGAGAACCATAGAGAGTAGTTTCACTCACCAGAGTAGAGAAGTGGTGTGGACGTGGATGTGAAGGCCAGCAATGGTATTGGTGAAAAGTCTCACGTGTTGTCTCAAGGCAGAAAAGGGGTGGTTAGGAAATTCTAACATTTCCAACTCAAAAATCCCATCCCACTCACGACACCATATGTAAGGTATATTAAATAGGTAGGTTTCATTAGGTAGCTGATGAAGAGAATACCATGCACATTCAGGCAGGAAAAGAAGTTTATTTGCCGAACTGCTGCCCCCTCCGTACATGGTGGAGAGGCATGGCTGAAAAGGAAGGGGGGTGACCCACCCCTGGGCCAGGACTTATCTAGGCCAGGGACAGGAAGAGGTGTGGCCAGGTGGGGGAAAGGTGTGGCCACACTGGATCTGGACGTGACCTCAGGGTCTGGGATCCTCCTAAGGTCAGATGGGAGGTCTGTGACCAGAGGTGGCCCAGGATGTGACCTAGCAGGAGGGGAAGATGACTGCTTCGGTCTGCTAGTTACCTAGGCAACAGATACTCGGTGGAAACTTAGCCAAGAGGTAGGGAAGTGTCCCTGTGCAGACTTATAAGTATTAATTGGGCCCTTTTAAGTAATTTTCTGCAAATCCTAGTTTCCAGCCAAAAATAAATAAATCCTCAATCCCAGTGAACAACCTTCAGCTATTCAGTATATAGTGAGAAGGTCCACTTATTTACCCCATATAACAAATGAAGCTTACATGACTGAAAGGCTAGACTTTGACTCAAGCTTTCTAATATTGAATGGCATTTAATAAATGGGCAGGAAGTAATATTTCCAGGCTCTTGGCAGATACATTTACAACTTAACAGTGAGAAATTGGAATCCTTAAGAATGGGGTTTTTTTAAGTTAGAAAATATTCTGTTAGTAATAATGATTGTATAACTATGAATGTATTTAAAACTACAGATGCAGGAGTGTTTGTGAGTTGGAGGTCAGCTAGACTTTATTTATAGTGAGAATCCTGCCTCCACAAACAAACACCAAGGCACAGTGGCTCACACCTATAATCCCAGCTACTCAGTAGGCTGAGATCTAAAAATTGAGGTTTGAAGCTAGCCCAAGCAGACAAATCCTTAGGAGACTCTTATCAAGTTCAGTCCTTAGTACTGGCACAAAACAAAAATTCAGACAAACAACCCATTCACTAAATTATGCATTTTAAAAGGATAACTTTTATTTTCATTATCACTTAATGAAGCACTACTAACAAAAGCAAGCCAAATACATTCATGTGCATTTAATGACAAGGTTTACAGAATATCTAGAGTACCAGAAAATGCCTGACTCCTCTTCTCAATTCTACAAGTTATTCCTGTTATAAAAATAGTAGCTGATTCTACTGCTAATGTTTGCTTTGCAGAAGAAGGCATTGTTTTAGACTAGACATGAACCTTTGTGTTGTCAGCATTAGCCAGACTTAGCAGGAAATTTTGCAAAGTGCCATTTTAATCAAATGCTTCTTTGTAATTCCATAGTGCCAGGGTGACCTACCTTTGGCAGCAAAAATAGATCCTGCATTTGGAAACAGGTAGCTATGCAGGCCTGGCTACCTTTTAAAAAATTAAAAAACTAAAAAAAAAAATCTTAATATTTTTGAAAGAAAAAGACTATTTTGGTGGTACTAAGGATCATTCGTGTTAGGCAAGGGCTCTGCTATTCAACTACGCCCTCAATAACTTTCTTTATTTTATCTTCCTTTATCATGCGTTCCATTAGAGAATTGCATTATTACAGTTTTTTAAGGTGAATTAGTTTAATATTAATGGTTCTTTTATTCTTTGTATCATTTCTGATCTTCTATATACTAAGTCCCAGCTGTAAGGGGAAAAAAAATAAGATCCCCTAAAATGCTTTCAAAAACAAAACCAAAATAAGGATAATTTTGATACTTTTTTGTTTTCCAGTGATGTGTTGGCATTGCCCATTTTCAAGCAGGAAGATTCAAGCCTTCCATTGGATGGTGAAACCAAGCACCCTCCCTTTCAGTATGTGATGTGTGCTGCAACATCACCTGCAGTGAAACTGCATGATGAGACTCTCACTTACTTGAACCAAGGTTAGTGTGACTTTTTCAGAATTGGCATGTAATAACTTGTAAAAATCCAAAGGAAATGTTTTGGCATTGCAGTATAGTTGTTGGTAACAATGAAAATTGCAGGAAATCTATGAGACACTATAGTAATAGTTTGTGCAAACTGATTTACATTAAGGAGGATCTTGAGCAATATTTTAGGGTTTTTTAGCCTTCATCCAGAGGAAGAGCAAGTAGGAAAGGATGTCAGCTATTTTTAGGGACAGTGCTTTCAATGTGGAACTTGAGAATGAATCAGAAGTCCAGCTAGCCACCTGGGTCTTGGACATGAGACAGATTTGTTCTGAAAATAGATTTAAACTTCACCAGAATGGAGTCTGGTTTAATAAATTATGTAAAAGTTTATTCATATCTAGAGTTTACCTTTAGAAAGGGTAAGGTTTTTTAAAATGTAATTTTATTGTTATTGTTAAGGAGTTATATCATTTTACAATTCATATAATGCATACATTTCTCTTTTAGACAGTGTCTCTCATTCCTTTGCTTTAAGGTTGTTTATATGAGCTTTTATACTGTAAAAAAAAGTACTTATTGATGAGATTTGTTGGATATGAGTAGTGAAAGCATGTTGAGGTTTTTTGTTTTTTTTTTTCAAAAAAATGAGCATTGTTGTAAAAATAGGACATGCTTAATTAAAGAAAAGTTGTAGAGAAGGATTGGGAATGGGGGCGGGGGAAGGCTGGGAAGGGATATGAAGGGTAAACCAAAGGAGGAGGCTGCAATGCTTGGTAAGAAATGTAAGCATTATCCTGCCCATGTAATTGTAACCCCTCTGTACAGTATGTTCACAAATAAAATAAAATTAAATTTAAAAAAAAAGAAAAGTTGGAGATTATTTGAAAGACTTTAGCTAACAGTATATTCAGTATATTTCATTGTATATTTTCTTTCTACAAAATTGAAATTATGCATGTGTTTACCTAAGAGTATATGGTAGGCTGTAGGCATGGTTCCAGTGGTAGAGCATGCCTCAGTTTGAAACCCTGGACTTGGGAATTATCTTGTGAAACAGGCAGTATGGCACATACATGCTGGTAATCCCAGCTACTAAGGAGGAGGTTAGAGGCAAGAGAAGAATCAGTTAGTGGCCAGCTTAGGGCTCAAAAACAAAATATAAACGAAAGGGCTGGGGCATGGCCCAAGTGATACATCACCTAATGTGATTAGTTCTTCCCTAATGTGTACACAGCTTCAGGTTCTGTTACACAAATTTTTAAAAAATGTATTATGATATATTTTTTTCATTAAATAGTATCTTAAATTCCTTGAGATTTGGAAAGAGCAATAGATTTTAGACTACTTGGGATGAGTATTCTGAAATGTAGAAGAATAACTTTTCACATGATACTAGTTTAGTTACAGAAATCTTTATCTTCTGGTAGCTCTGTCTGTAGCATGTGATAAAGCCTCACTTTGTTTTTAGCACTTGATAATTGTTTAGGATTCAGTTATTTGAGGTTTTAAATTTCATATTTCAAAGAATCTTGAATTTATTTGTTAATTGGTTTTAGACTTAAAAAGCTCAAAAGAAACAATAGAAGAGCAAAGGGCAAAGATACATTTATAGATAGATGTGAGGATGAATGAGAATGGAACCCAAGGTTTCCCTCAGGCTAGGCAAGCATTCCACCACTGGGCTAAATCTCATGTGAATTGTAACTTTTATTGTTGTAGGCGCTGGTCCCTGAGCCTCTTTGTGATCAAGGCTAGCACTTTACCACTTGCCACAGTGCCACTTCTGGTTTTTGAGTGGTTAATTGGAGATAAGAGTCTCACAGGGCTTTTCTGCCTGACCAGCGCCAGCTTGTAACTTTATTTCTAAAGACAAAAAGGGAAATAACCCCAATTTCTTCTCAAGTTTTGAGAAGAAATTACTTTTTCTTTCTTTCTTTGCTTTTTTTGCTTCTCCTCTTCCATCTCTTCCTCAGGTGTCCCTCTGTAACCCAAGGTCCAGGTTAGCCATGAACGTTGTATAGGCTAGGTTTTTTTGTTTTTAGTTTTTTGGGGGTGTTTGGTTATAGGGCTTGAACTCAGGGTCTGGGTTCAAGGCTGGTGCTCTACCACTTTGAGCCACAGCTTGACTTCTGGTTTTTGAGTGATTAATTGAAGATAAGAGTCTCACAGGGACTTTTTGCCTGGGCTGGCTTTGAATCTCCATCCTCAGATTTTAGCCTCCTGAGTAACTAGGATTACAGGCGTGAGCCACCAGCACCTGGCTTCCTAGGCTGGTTTTGAACTGTTGATTCTCCTGCCTCAGCCTCCTTGAGTGCTGGCATTACAACATACACCACCTTGTCTGGCCAAAACTTGCTCTTAGTCATCGAATTAACCCTGATCATGTATGTATGTATGTTTGACTATATATATATTCTTTACAGAGTACATGTGAACATAAATATATTCATAGAGCTAAATAAGCTCTATGAATGGAGCATATATAATGTATGTAATGGAGCAGATGTATCCTAGATTGTAAACAGGTGACTGCTTAATGAATTTTGGTTACTTCCAAAGGAATCAGCACTATTTAAACAGCTGTAGATACTTAGTTCTTAATTTTATACAGAAAATGAAATTATTTCAACCAAAAGGGATTTTTGTATCCTAATTACTTGTAATATTGTTCAGTAGCTCATAAAATATTGTATGACTCTTTTACAAAATCATATAAATGTATAATCATTTATTTATTTGTGCTTTTTTTTTGTTTGGTTTGGGTAGTTCTAGGGTTTGAAAGGGTGATCTACTATTTGAGCCAAACTCTGAACTTTTTTCTTTGTTGTTTTTGCTTTAGTTATTTTTCAGATAGGGTTAATAATTTTTTCCCAGGGCTAGCCTTGGACCCAGATTCTCCTACCTGTGCTTCTTAGTAACTAGGATAATATATTTGTTGAGATGGGCATTATATTTGTTGAGATGGGCATCTGACTAATTTTATGTGTTGGCTGGCTTCTGGACTTCAATGCTCCCAGTCTTCACATCTGGAGTAGCTGAGGTTATAGATATGAGTTATCATTCCTGACCCCTAATAACCATTAAAATCTAGATTATTTTCATCTTTATTTTGGCCCTCTAGGGGAGCATTTTTCCTAATATATCCTATAGCATCTTTTCATCTACTAAGAAAAAAATGATTAATTATTACCATTTGACTAAGAGAACTGTAGGTGTGTGTGTGTGTGTGTGTGTATGTGTACACGTGTGTGTGTGTACGTGTGTGATGCTGTAGATTGAACACAGGGTGCTTATATGTATGCTAGGCAAGTGTTCTACCATTGAGCTATATCCACAGCCCCCCTAAGGGCCTTTTCAGTATGAAGTTGTTTCTAGGAAAATGTCCTCAATTCTTTATATAGGAAAGGGTACTGGCTGACTATATTTGTAGCTTTTGGTAGTGCAGGGGATTTTCACATTATCAAGGATCAGAACCACTTAGAGGTCTTGTCAGGACATAATTTCTGTGCTCTTCAACATATTTGAGCCAGGGTCTGAAATTTTATATTTCTCCAAGTTTCCAAGTGATACTGCTGCCCGTTTGAGGACCATAGTTGATTTTTTTTTTTTAATTACATTTTTTGGTGCCAGTTCTGGGGCTTAAACCTAGGGCATGGGTGTTGTTCCTGAACTATTGTGCTCAAGGCTAGCACTCTACCACTTGAACCACAGCTTCTCATTTCTGGCTTTTTCAGTGGGTAATTGGAGATAAAAGTCTTGTGGAGTTTTGACTGGGTTCAAATTTTGATCCTCAGATCTTAGCCCCTTGAGTAGCTAGGATTTACAGGCATGAGCTTCTGGCTTCAATTTTTTTTTTTATTACTTTGAATATCATTCAGGTAAATAGGCTATTTTCCCCTTAGTATCACCTTTTCATTTTTATTTTTGGTTTTATTTTTTATGATGCTGGAATCAAATCCAGGCTTTACACCTGTTGAGCAAGTGCTCTGTCAGTGAGCTAAAGCCCTGTCCCTCCATCACTACCTTTTGGGGGGTCCAGTTGTGGGGTCTGAACTCTGGGCCTGGGCGCTGTCCCTCAGCTCTTCAGCTCAAGGCTAGCGCTCTACCACTTGAGCCACAGCACCACTTCTGGCTTTTTTTTCTTTTTTGCTTATGTGGTGCTGAGGAATCGAACCCAGTGCCTCATGCATGCAAGACAAGCGCTCTACCACTGAGCCACCTTCCCAGCCCAGCCATCACTACTTTTTGAAAAGTGGACATCCTCAGAGGAGAGGTGGCAGGTAGATAGGGGTTGAATGTTAGTCTATACTATAACTTGATCTTCACTAGTAGCCTTCCCTTAGACTTTTCCTCTTGGGCAGCAGTTAATGAAGAATATATCCCATTGTACAATGCTATAAAGAAAAAATTTAAATGTTTCTTCAGTCTGTCAAGTAGAAGTTGAAACACAATTTCTTGATGTATTTGATGTGTTAAGCTTTTTTTGTACTATTTGGAACCATAGAGGTACAGAATTTAGAAACTATTTGTATTGGCCTATTTATGTTTATGTTGTTATTTGTAAAAAGAGTTTTTTGATCTTAAGCTCTGATGGTCTTAGAGTTACCACTGTAGTCCCAACCTGGAGTAATGACTTTCCTTTGAGTAGATTTCTGGCTGGAATAGGCTGTCTCTGATTGTACAGTTGGGGGTCTCCGTCTTAGACACTTCTTACTCACCGATATGAGTGGGACTTAATCTCCTTGCTGCAATGTGCACTGGCTCATTGCTGCTGCTGGACCAGCATCGCCTTTCTCTTTATTTATTTATTTTTTTAATGCCTGCTCATTTGGGAGCCAAGTTCTACTTGGAGAATACTCTGCTAAGAATATTAATTAGCCAGTATTAGCTAGTGTACAAACAGGTTGTAGGTCCTAAAAATTGCACATTTATTGACTTAGAATTTCTGTTAAAGTGTCAATAAACTTTAGGTAGAAAAAATTAAAAATTGAATGTTTCATTATATTCCATAGTGAAATTCCTTCTGATTTTTGGTGGCTATTGCTAGGTTAAAGTTAGGACCTTAGAAATAGTTTCCTAAAGCTTTGAACTTAGCAAGAAGATCCTGTCATTTCTTGAACTCTGTGTTGTTCTGTAGTTCATGTGAAAGTGAGACTTACAGTCTGTATGTTCAAAGGTGGTGAACATGAACTCAGAACAGTTACATTTTTCAAATCTGTCACTACATTTTTGTTTCTAAGCCAAAAGGGAAGGAAAAAGTATGGGAGGTAAATTCAAAAGGTAAAGCTAAAAACAGGACTGGTATCTTGCAGAATGTTACTATTTGTGTTAACTTTACATCTTTATATTTCATTTAGAACCTAGACCAGTGTTTCAAGGAACCATGTAATTTACAAGAATTGTGGACAAGGAACAAATAGAGAATTAAACCTGTGAAACTCTGTAGTTCTTTCAGTAGATACTACCATTGAGTAATGTAGTTTCTGCTATGAAAACCATTTGAAGCGTAACAAGTGTTACAATGCCCGTGCCCCACTCTTTTTTTTTTTTTTTATGGTGATGAGGTTTGAATCAAGGTCTGGAGCTTGCTCATCTGGCACTCTATCACTTGAGCCACATTTTATTCTCCATCCCTAGAACACATTTTTATGTCCTACTTTTTGTTTTTTCTTTTTCACCAGTACTAAGGCTTGAATTTAGGGACTCTTGTTCTCACTCTGCTTTTTTATTCATGACTGGCTCTTTACCACTTGAGCTACAGTTTCACTTTCAACTTTTCACTGGTTAATTGGAGATAAGAGTGTCTTGTATTTGTTTGCTAACTCTGGCTTTGAACCTCAGACCTCAAATCTCAGCCTCCTGAGCAGTTAGGATTATAGCGGGAGCCACTCCAATTATTTTTGAGATAGTCTCACTTTTTGCCCAAGCCTACCCTGGGCCATCATCCTCCTGTTTATGCTAAATTAGCTCCAAACGGTTATATGGTCTGAGAAACAAATTATGTTGAACAGAATAATTTCCTTCACATGAATTGTTTTTGATACTTAATTTCTTTATATTAGGTCAGTCTTATGAAATTCGGATGCTGGATAATCGGAAAATGGGAGATATGCCTGAGATCAGTGGAAAGTTGGTAAAGGTATGGACAGTATTTTAATACTTAAAAATGCTGCAGTGATTAATAAAAGTATCAGTTTCACTGCAAGAGTTCTTATTTAAAATATTTTATATTTCACTTTAGAAAGTTATGGCTATAATTAAAACTTTCAACTTTCTGAGCAAAACTTTTTGTTTCTGCATCTGTACAGTAGAGATTACAGCTTCATTGGGAGTCCAAAAACATTATCAAAAAAACAAACAAACAAAAAAAACATTATCAAGTTAGTTGCAGTGATGGGGGAACAAAACTCATCACCACAACCAAAACGGTAAAACTACTTTTCAAAAGTAAAAGATAATGTGAGGGGAAATGAAATCAATATCAGACTTAAAAAAAATCCCTTAGTCCACTTTTTTTCTTTATGCTGGTCCTGGGACTTGTACTCAGGACCTGGGCACTGTGCCTGAGCTTTTTTGCCCAAGGCTAGCACTCTACCACTTGAGCCACAGCTCCATTTCTGGCTATTTTGGTGGTTAATTGGAGGTAACAGTCTCATGGACTTCCTTGCTCAGGCTGTCTTCGAACCACAATCCTCAGAGCTCAGCCTCCTGAGTACCTAGGATTACAGGTGTGAGCCACTTCTTAAAATGTCATTGACTGCAGTTTGCATTCTCTGTTGCCCATACTGACACATGAACAAGGAAATGAGTCATCTCAGGTATAGGAGATGCAGCCATTGTCTGTCTGGCTAGCCTTTTAGGATATGTCTTTAGAACCATCCCTGTCCCCTCCGCTATTAGGCCAGGTGGGTTCTTCTATTATTTTCCTGTCATGAATTGGTCTCATCCAGTCTATAGCATCACAGGGCAAAGTTCATGGAGGAAGGAAGCTTATTGGGGAAGGCAAAACATCAAAGGCCAACAAGAATGAGTTCTCTTGATTCTTCCCTCTTCCGTGTTCCTGCAGAATGGCATGTCATGACCCAGGGGGTGCTGGCCCTTCAGTGTGGACAGATTCCATCTACTGGATCTGTCACTTTAGAGGAAAAAGCAGTCTTGTCGAGGGAATGGTTGCTTATACTACTTGGTAATCAAGGCAATCTGAATTTGGCATATTGTCTGGGAGACACAGCTGCCTGGCACTTGGATGTCTAAGATGAGAGAGCCTTTGGCATATTTCATACCCCTTTTTACTCTCGGAGGCAGAAGAATTTCAGTCCTACAAGAGGTTGAGCTTAGATAGTTTCCTTTTCTCTGAGAGAAACACCGATGATTTTGTTACTATTGAATGGTTGTCTTGCCAGCTCAGACCTAGTTCCCAGGTTTCTTCTAACTTTTGGGTCTGCCAGTGAATTTCTAATAGAAGTAGTCTTACATAGCTATTATTTGCATTATCTGTCTTAACTATGCTCAGTCAGTGGGGTTGGTAATTTCCATAGAGGATGTCTTGTTTGTGTTGTCTTGTTTGTGTTTCTTTGGGCATTCTGATTTGTTGTGGACATAGGCTGAAAAAGCTCACCAGCATTATTCACAGTAAGCAGATCCTGCTTTCATGACAAGTATTCATGGATTGACTTAGTAGCCAGACTAACTGCTTTCCCATCCCAGTGTTTAGGAAGCTTAGGAATACTGAGGATTCTATCTTCTGGTCCTAGATGGGTTGTTGCTTCTAGAGTCACCTTTGGATAAATCTTACAGCTAGTTATTAAACTAAGTACTACTTTTCTCCTTTGTCCTCTTTTTTTTCTTTTTTCTTTTGGGTCCAGTCGTGGGGCCTGAACTCTGGACCTGGGCGCTTTCCCTCAGCTCTTCAGCTCAAGGCTAGCGCTCTACCACTTGAGCCATAGCGCCATTACCACTTGAGCCACAGCGCCACTTCTAGCTTTTTTCTTTTTGCTTATGTGGTGCTGAGGAATCAAACCCAGGGCTTTATGCATGCAAGGCAAGCGCTCTACCACTGAGCCACCTTCCCAGCCCCCTCTTTTTTCTTCTCTGCTCTTCTTCTTACTGCTTGGCATCAAACTTAAGATCATATACATGCTGGACAGGTATTCTTCCATTGATTTATTCCCCAAACCCCAGCAATACATTTTTTTCCACAGAAGAAATGTGAGAAAGTTAAACTTGATTACCATAACGTGTCTTTTTTTTTTTTAAGTATCTGTAACTGGGTTGGAGAATATTTTTAATTGTGGATTCTGTGATAATATTGAATAGGGCTTGGTGACTCTTGTGTGGAGGTCTTTAGTACCCCCTCTTACTCCTGGAGGCAGGAAACTTTCAGTTGTACAAGAGAGCTTTTGTTTCCTTTATTGTACCCTGTGCTTTGTTTGTATATGTGCTGAGTTATAGAGTTTATTAATATTTTTATCTTAGCTCTTAAGTCATGATCATTTAGTGTGAAGAGGAAAATATAACCAAACTATGATATGCATATCAAATACCCTAATTCAGTTTCTTCAAAGAACTGAAAAAAGTCAGTTCTGAAACAGTTGACATTTTCATTTAGCAGTGGGGAAAAAATTTTACTACCTGAATAAGTAGTTTGATAGGTAGGACTACATGCTTAAAATTCTTTTAGCAAACTATAAATGTCAGATTAATTTAGAATGACTAGGTTAATAAGTTAAGCTATTGAACTTTCTTTGATTTACTTCTAAATTAAAACATAAAGAACTGGGTGTGATGGAGCATCCTGTAATCCCAGCATTCAAACATTTCACCTACAATCCCAGCAAGTGCTCTGGAGGCCAAGGCTTAGAGGATGGAGACTTTGGGTTAGAGACCAGCAGGGGTTTGGTAACTTGAATATCTCAAAAACCAACAACAAAAATAAACAACTTGCTCACACCTGTAATCCTAGCTCCTCAGGAGGCCAAGATTTGAGGATTGCTGTAGCTGTTCAAAGCCAGCCCTCAGCAAGAAAGTCTAAGAGACTTATTTCCAACAACTACTCAGAAAAAGCTGGAAGTAGTGCTGTAGCTCAACTGGTAGAGCACTAGCCTTGAGCACAAAGAGGCTCAGGGACAGTGCCCAGGCCCTGAGTTCATGCCCCAGGATTGGCAAATATAAACAAACAACTTATACATATTACTAATACAAGTGAAGAAATGAAGGGTAGATCTCATGCTGGAGATAATGGACTATTGATAGAGAAACTGTCTAGCTACAAGTTCACAGCAGATGTTTTGCAGATACCACACTAGTACATGTAGTGTTTCTAGTAAATGTTTATAGCTCACTGATTGGAAAGAGTTAATTTTATAGTTCATCTTCTGTTTGATAAGCCACATGTCTAAGTTTTGTTGATGTTCCAGAATAAGATGCAGTTATAATGTAAGAGCTTGCCTGGGAGTCAGAGCTGATCTGTCTGCTACTACGAAGGACATATGATGAAATTGTTAGAAATCATGTCCTTCAGCTAGAGGAATACTAAACCTTAAACTATTAACCTTCTACATTTTGTGTGTGTGTGTGTATGTGTATATGCATGTGTGTGTACATGAGTTACGTGTGTGTATATGTGTGTACATGTGTATGTACCAGGGGGCTTGGACTCAGGACATTGAGCTCTTACTCTACCTTTTCACTTAGAACTGGCACGCTACCACTTGAGCCATACCTGTATTCTGATGTTTTGCTGGTTAATTGAAAGTAAAGTCTCTTAAGCTTTTCCCAGGCTGGCTTCATAGCTTAGCTCTCAGCCTGCAGAGTAGCTAGGTAAATTATATAGGCCATTGGTTCCAGCTGTTTGGAGCTTTTTTTTTTTCTTGTCATGGGACTTGAACTCAGGCCTTGGCACTGTCCCTGAGCTTCTTTTTCTCAAGGCCAGCACTCTGCCACTTGAGCCATAGTACCCACTTCCAACCTTTTCTGTTTATGTGGTACTGAGGAATAGAACCCAGGGCTTCATGCATGTTAGGCAAGCACTCTGCCACTAAGCTACATCCCCAGCTCCTGTTTGGAACTTCTTAATTGTGCTGAATATATATTTAATGATATACTTTCTCTTCTTGTTTCTGAGTTTCTTTGTTGTGGGGCTTGAACTCGGCCTGGGCACTGTCCCTGAGCTCTTAAGCTCAAGGTGAGCACTCTACCACTTTGAGCCACAGCGCCACTTCCAGTTTTCTGGTGGTTAATTGGAGCTTTGAACCGCAATCCTCAGATCTCAGCCTCCTGAGTAGCTATGATTACAGACATGAGCCTCTGGCTCTGGGTTTCTTTTTGAGACAGGGTCTCACTTTATTCCTTAGCCTTGGACTTACTATGTAGCTGAAGCTGGTTTCAAACTCACAGGTGTGTATATTTGAATATGGCTTTTGCTTGTTACGTTTTTTGCCTTATGAGTTTGTATTGCTAGTTCTATGAGTATATTCAGTTGCCTTTTAGTGAGAACTTCTAGATAACAATTTTCTCCCTTCTAGTACCACTGAGGATTTGTTGTTGTTTGGTTTGGTTTGGGTTTGGCCAGTCCTGGGGCTTGAACTCAGGGCCTTCTTTTGTTCAAGTCTAGCATTCTACCAGTTGAGCCATAGCTCCACTTCTGGCTTTTTTGATTTTTAATTAGAGATGAGTTTTTACTGGCCAACCTGGCTTTTGAACTATGATCCTCAGATCTCAGCCTCTTGAGTAGGATTATAGGCATGAATCACCAGCATCCCACCTTGGATGTTTTTCTTTTAATAATCTTCTATTTTTTTAAATTTGCTCTCTTTTTTATCTCCTTACTATTTACTTTTTGAAATGGGGCTTGGTAAATTTATATTTACTTTATTTTTATCTTAATAGATGGGTTTAGTTGGGTAATTGCTGAACATGAAAGAGTTAATATGATGCCATTTTCTGTGTTGTGCTTTCTTCTGTGCTACTAACAAGTACTATAGAATGAAATGTGAATGAGCTAACAAATGTGAACCCAAGCATTGGTGCTCCCAGCTGGTGGGGCACCAGCACTGAGAGGGCTTTGCTGCCACAGGGGACCTTGTGAGGTGGATGCTGGTGGGTTTCTGGGCAGGCCATACTGATGTGGCCTCTATTTAACTATCTCAAAAAAAAGAAAAAAGAAAATTGCTACTTTTAAATAGTATCTTTCAAAATATCTAAATATTTAAGGCGTGGGAAAAGCAGAGGTACTAAAAAGTATCTATGCATTGCTACCAAATTATTTCCTTACCCTAGCAGAGTCTATGAGAATATATTCTATGCATAATAGCCTCAGAAAGTTTCAGAAACATTTAGCTCAAATCTGGTGGTTTGTTTGTTTATTTCGTCAGTTGTGGAGCTTGAGCTCAGGGCCTGGGTACTGTCCCTGAACTCTTTGAGATCAGGGCTAACACTCCATCACTTTGAACCATAGCCCTACTTCCAGATGTCTGGTGGTTAATTGGAGCCCTGGTGGCTCAAACCTGTAATCCTAGCTACTCAGGAGGCTGAGATCTGAGAATCACAGTTTCAAAGCCAGAATGGGCAGGAAAGTCCGATTAACCACTAGAAAACCAGAAGTGGCATTGTGGCTCAAAGTGATACACTGCTAGCCTTGATTAAAAGGAGCTCAGGGACTTTGCTGCCTAGGCTGGCTTTGAACCAGTATCCTCAGATCAGATCTCAGCTTCCTAGGATTATAGGCAAATCTAGTGTGATTTTGATCACTTGTTACCCTACTTCTGGAATAAGACAATGCTTGGAGTTCTAAACCTATGGAACCTGAAGGAGGCATGAATGCAGTGTGTAGAACTGGCCTGGAGTTCCAGCTGAAGAGTTACAACCTTCCCTAGAAGTTTTGAGTGTTGAGATAAAAATTATCTATAAGCTTTTCTCTTTCCTTCTTTCTCTCAAGTTAGTTCACTTGCAAGTTAAAAGTTGAGAATGAATTTTCCATTTAGATTCTCTTTTAGGGGAAATGGATATTATATACATATATATATATGTAGATATATATATATATATATATATGTATAGCCATTTAGCTGATAGAATGACTGTCTTTATAAAGAGTGATTAACTACTGTTGTTTTGTGGTTGTATTTTGAGACAGGATTTCATTATGTAGCTCAGGCTGGCATTGAACTTCAGATCCTCCTGCCTAAGCCTCCTGAGTGCTAGGCATGTGCTATCACATTCCACATTATTATTTTAAATTAATACAGTTTTACCACTATGCCTGGGGATCTATATCTATCATCAACTCATAATTCTGTGCTTCTGTACTTTTCTTTATAGCAATGTAAAATCTTTCACATAAGTTATACACATGCACCTTGATTTTGAATTACAATACCAAGCTCTTTTATAAAATTTGTGCATCAGTAACTACTTCTTGTTTTTGAGTTATAAATCTTTGCACTAAATAAGTGTATCATCTTAAGAGCAAAAAAGCAGATTATGTTTTTGCATGTTTGATTTATTGTAGTTTAACACATGAGAAATGAGAATGGAGTTGTTTAAATATATTCATTTTTCCCACTTATTCCATAGAGCATCATAAGGGTTGTATTCCATGACAGACGTCTACAATACACAGAGCATCAACAGCTTGAAGGTTGGAAGTGGAATCGCCCAGGAGACAGACTTCTTGATTTAGGTACAGGTGGTAGTCAAAGATATGGAAATGTTGGCATTGTTTAGCTCTGCTTGTTAGTGTTTTGGCACCATGATTAATTACATGAGGAAAGATTTGATATTAGTAGGTCCTTTGCCTTGACAGTTACTTTATGCTTAAAAAGTAAAGTAGCTTTCAGCGCCAAACTAACCTGGACAAGGAATTTTGATTTTTTTTTTAGCTAGTTATATTCCATTATAGTCTTAATAAAATGAAATACCATGGTAGAGGATTTCAGTATCAACAGCAAGATTGACTGTGGATGTAATTATTTCCTTCGAACATGATACAATAAGATGTAAGGTTGTTTATTTGTTTGGGTACTTTTGAGTTGAGGTCTTGTTATGCTGCCCAGGCTGGCCTTGAACATCTGGACTCAGAACATTTCTGAGCCTCAGCCTACAAGTAACTGGGACTACATGCATGCACAAACATACCTGGCAAGTTTCTTAAAGTGGATGCATTTTTATTTAACTTCTTTTTCAACATACAGATATTCCAATGTCTGTGGGAATAATAGACACAAGGACAAATCCAAGCCAGTTAAATGCAGTTGAATTTCTGTGGGACCCTGCAAAACGCACATCTGCTTTCATTCAGGTTTGGATTTTTATGTTACTAAGAGTATACTGACCATCATTTAGAAGATTGTAGTGAGACTGAGTTCTTGATTTGTGGAGATATTTTAAAATAAATCCTTATTTGTAAAATGCTTTCTTTTTTTAAAAAAAAATATAGTAAAGGGCTGGGGAGGTGGCTCAGTGGTAAAGTCTTTGCCTCGCATGCATGAGTCCCTGGGTTTGATTCCTCAGCACCACATAAACAGAAAAAGCAGGAAGTGGCACTAAGGCTCAAGTGGTAGAGAGCTAGCCTGAGCTGAAGAGCTAAAGGACAGTGCCCAGGCCCAGAGTTCAAGCCCCACGACCAACAAAAAAAAGAAAAAAAAGTAGTAAAAATGGATTTACTTGACTTAGTCATATTATTCACATAAAGATTTCCTATGATAGTGTATAAACATTGTTCAAATTGTTTTTGCCATTTTTAGTCATAATAATTAAAGTTTGCCATGTGAAATATTTTTCTTGAAAGCTGACATTTAAAAGGATACAGTTGGGGAAAGTTTGAGGTTTTAAAATTCTTTCTTACATTATTTTAAACTTTCTAATACTGAAATTTCAAACCTCCACAGTAAATAATAATAATGAATTCTTTTTTTTTTTGTTCGTTATGGGGTCTGAACTCTGGGCCTGGGCACTGTCCCTTAGCTCTTCAGCTCAAGGCTAGCACTCTACCACTTCAGACAGAGCAGCACCACTTCTGGCTTTTACCACTTCTGGCTTTTTCTGTTTGTGTACTGAGGAATCGAACCCAGGGCCTAATTCATTCAAGGCAAGCACTCTACCACTGAGCCACCTTCCCAGCCCCAATAATGACTTTTTTATGTATCCATCATCTGGGCTTCAATAGTTATTAGTAGTTTTTCTTACTTCTTGTTGGCATACTTAAGCAAGCTTGTCTGATGTCTAAGAGGGAGTGTGTGTGTGTGGGGGGGTGAGGGTGTGTGTGTGTGTGTGTGTGTGTGTGTATGTGTGTGTCAGAGCCTGAGTGTCTAAGACTGTGTGTGCGCGCACGCGTGTGTGTGTGTCAGAGCCTGAGTGCTTTCCCTGAGTTTTTTATCTCAAGGCTAGTGCTCTACCATTTGAACCACAGCTCCACTTTCTTTTTTTGGGGGGAGGGGTCCAGTCGTGGGGCCTGAACTCTGGGCCTGGGTGCTGTCCCTCAGCTCTTCAGCTCAAGGCTAGCGCTCTACCACTTGAGCCACAGCACTACTTCTGGC